CTGGAGGAGCTGAGGAGGATGTTTTATTATTATTATTATTTCAGAAGCTTCATGTTTGTTTGAGTGGCTGTGTGAACAGAGTGTTAATAAATGTACCATTAAAGCCCAGTTAAACTGGTATCTGCTACAGTTGCTGTTTCAACTGGCGTCACAGTTGACGAATCACAACAAACACATCGATACCTACTGTATATTAAAAGATAAACATTTACAAATGACCGTCTCCCCCCCCCCCCCCCCTCCCATGTTCACACCTGAACCTGGTGATGATGTCACCGAACATTTTCGTCATCACCATGTGGTTGACAGACGGGGAGATGGAAGCATATGTTGCTGATGGTGCTGTTCCAAATGTCTGAGGTTTCCAGTGTTTGGTACCAACCAGCTCCACATGCTTCTGCTAAATATGTAGAGGACAGGATGAGGAAGACGAGGCAACCAGGGAGGGCTCACCAGCTGGAGGGCAAACGTCAAAATGTTCCATTTTGTAATGGAATACTGGATCAAAGTCACATGACACATTTTAGGTGGTCATTTTTTTTAACTCTCAACCACAAAAGAATGGAGTTTAAATGTGTGATCTGATGTCAACTCTACTGTAGTGGTTTGTGGTTTCATAGTGTAGCGGTTAGCACATCTGCCTCAGAAACAGAGAGTCCTGGGTTTGATTCCACGTACCCCCGATGATGCCTCCTGTGTGCTCCTGTTACGTAATAGCGCCACCTGTGTCAGTATGTGTATCTGTCTTCAAAATAACATGATAGTTTGTTTCTCTGTGTCGCACCTTGATCACAGCAGTTCTTCAAAAACAACTGAAGTAAAAGTTCAACTCAGGAGTCTTTCTGATGACTTTTGTCTTGTATCCGTTTGCCTGAGACTTTAGTCCAATTGCTGCAGAATGCTGGACTTTTCCGCTGATCAGTTGCGATCATCACAGTACAGACATTAGTAACTGCCGACCTTTGGAAATGTCATACGTATTTCCCTTAAATCTGACGGCGTCGGGAAAACAAAGGTATTTTCTGTGTGTTCACGATATGAATCTTGCTGAAAAAGCGTTCTTTCCTGGACGACTACAGGAGATTTGTGTCTGCTTTATCATATTTGACAGGTGAAACTGAGTTTCTGCCTCAACAAAACCACACACCTCAGTGAGGAGACTGTGACGAACTGAACAACGGTCCCTGTCCAGGAGGCAGTGACCAGTGCAGAGGATTTTATCTGTTTATTTATTTATTTTTTTTACTATTTGGACCTAGAACGACTCCGTCCTCCTCCGCTCCGGTGTGGGGTTTTTATCTGATGAAAACATCAGTTTGTCAGGGCCGGTGTGTGTGTGTGTGTGTGTGTGTGTGTGTGTGTGTGTGTGCTGTGTGTTCACTCAACAGGGTGGTATCGATTATTTACTCCAGATTTAATCTCCCTCCTCTGTTCTCCAACGAGACTCCGTCCAGTCTTTGCAGCTGTGGGAGAAAGAACCAGCCGACTCGTACACGCCAACAGAGATGGACAGAGATGGAGGCCTGTGGGGCTGGGCCGCAGAAAGTTTGTGGGATTTATTCCTGAGATTGTCCGTGGCAACAGAACAAGTAGGAAAACAAGCGACCTGAGGTGACCTTGTCCACTGGACGCACTTGTCCAAGAGTGACCTGGACCAGGTGGTTCTGTCAGCCCGTCTGAGGCCGACTGGGTCACATGACATGATTTGCTGGTTGTGTTGCTTTAATAAGACTCATTAAAATACTGCATGTGTCACCTGCCGCCACCGACCAACGCCCCCTACAGGCAGCTGTTTGGTTTATGATACGGTCGTCAAGGTGTGTGTGTGTGTGTGTGTGTCCATGAGTTCAAAATTGACCAGATTTGTCTTGGGCCTCAAGGTGTGTGTGTGTGTGTGTGTGTGTGTGTGTGTGGACACACATCCTTTATTCAAACTCACTGGTTACTGTTTGGTGTTAATTTGTTCATAGTTTGCTTAAAGATGGAATTCTGTACAACTTATCAAAGCTTATGTGTTACTGATGTTTTGTTCCACAGATCAGATTTAACTTCGAATTTCAAATATTTTTTGCATAAAACATATTTGCATGATATTGGTTCATCAGAATTCAAAGTTGTTGCTCTGGAGCACGATTTTTCAGAAGGTTTACAAACTTTTCAAAACATGCCCTAATACTAATACTAATTAATATAAATATATTATTTCTTAATGACATACATAAAAGATAAGTGTGTGTTTGGAAAAACACGTCATTGTGGGGAATTTTTTCAGTGTGTGGACAAATGGAATTGATCATAAATCGGGAACGTCTTTTCCCTTTCACTCCTGTCAAAGCGAGAGCATATTTGCAAAAGAGTTTGGGTTTCACTACTGCCCCCTGCTGAGTTGTCTTCACGCAGATCACTATATATGAAGTCATATTTTTTATAAAGCTTCCCTGCTATAGCTTTAACTGGCAGCCAACACTAACAAATGGCTGCGTAAATGCAGCCATTTCAGATATTTGACTGAACTCCTCCGTGCCCGCTGGACCACTGTTCTCTCTGCGTAGACAAAGTACTCAGGTGTCCTGGCACGGAGGGAGGACACAGTACGAGCGCCGTGGACATGTGGTCTCCACAGTCTGGCCAAGGCTCTGGTGGAGATAATTCCATACCATCTGGAGCCTACACATTTGTTCCATCCCCTTCAGAGCCAAGAAGACGACTGCTGTCAGCGTGATAACGTGTTTATTAGATTAGCCCTGCGTTGTTTACAGGAATACAGTCCTGCTGAGTGTCGGCCTTAAACAAATACATCCAGACACCGTCACCTGGAACATCCTCCGAACGATGGTTTATTTATGTTTACTATAAAAAGTGGCTTTTATTACATCAGGGACCGTAATCCAAAAACATTTGTTTTTTCTCTTTGTCATATTCTAGAATATTTAAAAATGTCGAGTTGTCTCTAAATCACTGCTTTCAATTAAATAAATGAAGAATACATGTGAATTAAAAATGATCAAAATAATTAAATAAAAAAACAGTTTATTTATCTTCACTCAAACCTTTTTATTATTTGTAATAATTGTAATAAATTTGACTGTCAGATACACAATAAAAACACACACACACACTACCAGTAGTCTATGTTAAAGACTGTTATATTTTTATTGTTTGTTTCCTTTTTAATTTGAACAGAAAGCGTTCTGAACAGAGTTGATGATTTTGTTGAAGCCACAGTTTCTGTCTCGTTAGCGCCATCATCAGAGGAGAGAGAGAACTGCTCTGCAGACGTCCACCTCCTCCTGCCAGTGCGTGGAGAGGAGACAACGTCAGCGGCCACGTCCAACGTTCCGCTCCAGCTGGAGAACTGCTGAGAGACGGTGTTGGTCTCGGCTCCTACTGTCAGCCCTGCTCCTCTCAGAGCGACCGCTGTTCAAACGTGTAGAATTCACCACTGACGTTTGAACCGTCTGGAAATACAAACGATCTGTTCACGCCATCAGGTCACACCTGCTCACATCGTAGGTGTCTGGATTTGGCTGAAACCAGGAGGAGCTCCCTCTACAGTGACTTCCTTTATTGTCACGTTAAAAAAGCGACGCCATCGTTATTCTGTTCACACACACACACACACACACACACAGCTGATGGTCCAGTCCTCGGTCCACAGAGCTCCTCTGTCCCTCTCTCTGTCAATGCTGTCTTTGACTCCACCACACCTTCAAAACGATGAAGCTGAATTGTTCGTACTACGCCCTCTACAGGCTATAAGTAGGAATATGTCATTTAATCTGCTTAAAAACGAATTAATTAGTCATTCTGAGATATTTATATAATAATGTTTTTCTTTTACCAATTCTTTCAAATGAATTTCATTAATTTCCTCAGTTTTTGAATCCAATCTCAGACCGGGTTGGATTGTTTGGTGGGCCAGATACGGCCCGCGGGCCACCAGTTGATGATCTCTGCTGTATCAATAACCATAAATAACAAACATGTTTTTTTTTTCTCCGTAGGTCCAACTGGCTGAAGCCGTGCTGTGGTCGTCAGGTGGCCCTGTGGCAGCTCTGTCTCCTCAGCCCAGGCTTCAACTGTGTCCTGGTGTCTTGCGTCATCCTGGTGGTTCTCTTCCTCTCCCTGGAGCTGCTCATAGACACCAAACTTCTGCAGTGTAAATACGTCTCATTTATTCATTCTGTTCTTTAACCTTCCTCTTTACTTAAAGGTGTGTGCTGAGTCTGCACAGACGCCTGCCTCACCTGGGATCAGCAGTTTATGCTGTGGTGACCTTCAGGGTTTCACAGAAAATTTTTGAATTGGACTCCGTTGCTCCAGCAGGGGGATCCACATGTGCACGAGGTCAAAGTAGTACATTTGAAAATGCCGTAGTAGGAAAAATATGATGTTTCTGTGGACGTGTGGTCCCAGTGAGGCAGGTGAAGCTCTACGGTAAATGTTTGTGATGGTCAGTGATGAAGAGGAGCGATAATGAACCCAGTGTCAGGTCCATGACGACGTCACATCGATAACTGGCCAGTGTCCAGGCTGGAGAATCCTGAGTTCGACTTCATCTGCCGTTTGTCAGTTCTGTAAAACAAACACTTTTTCAAAAGAGTTTGAAGTAAAGGTGAGACAGGAAGGACACACTGAGACAAGGACACGTGTTAATGATTGATGGATGACCACGACCGATGGACAGAAAGTCACAGAAAGTCACAGAGAAGAGCAAGTTTGGACAAAAACACCAGCCTTCTCTACAACATCTGCATAAAAACTAAGAACCTGAGAAACAAAACTGAAGCTTCACTGTGTTTCAGTAGATGTGTCATATTATTTGGTAGGTGGTGTCACGTGTCATGTACTATAAAAGTGGTACAACTCAGTGGAAAATGATGACAACAAGTTTCATTTTAATTTAATTTCATTGTTAAATTCATGGTTTTTATTTTTTTTCATTTTTTTCCCAACAGTTTCCTCAATATTTCAATTTGCCAGTATCATCCACTGGATCAGCCTCATCATCCTCTCGCTCTTCTTCTCAGAGGTAAGATATTTGTTGAGGGGGTTAGAACCTTATTTGATGTGTTACTAATAAAATGTAATTTTTTTTTTCAATATTGTCCTACTGTGTGAGACCTTGTCTTGTCTGTCCTTTAGCCACTGTTTAGCTTCACCTCACAGGAATGCTAAAAATAAACCACACCTGTTATTAGTCTAAATAAAATGTAAGTTGTTTAAAAAAAAAAAAACAAAAAAAGGTTTTATCCAGTCTGGAATTGTGAATAAACCAAATGGACAGTGGAGACGTCGGCCTGTAGGACGCTCGCGTGCAAAGCAATTACCCTGATGGCCTCGGCCCCAGCGCCATGAGCCAAACATTAATTACCAGCGAGCCGGCAGGAGCAATAATTACAGCCGAGCTAAATGAGCAGTGAGGATGGGGTTACGGTCATGTGATCCGCCCAAACACTCCACCCACCGACATCAGTGAGCAGGAATCAGCCCAGGATAGTGTTACACGGATGTAGCTCATTACCCAGGCTCCCTCTGCACAAATCAGGGAGGAGGATTTGAGTATGTGGGCAGTTCCCGTCTGTCACAGCACCGTTGTCCAATCTGTGCTGCAGATGATGGATTAGCAGGTCGGCTCCAACATGACACTCTGTGATAATTGGATTATGAATCAATGAGCGTCGACTGTGGAACGTTGAAGTTGATCACTGATCACATTAGTGAGTGTTGTGTCTCTGCTGGACAATAATCCATATTAGATTATTGTTCTGTCAGGGACATTAGTCCAGCATATAATACAGCCGATGCTAATCTCATATAGTAAAGGCATAAGCAGGTTAGGTATCACTTCAGCCAAACCTACGTTGTAAATAATACTTTGTGGCTTCTCTGATCTCAGGCTCTGTTAACATGAAGGTTATTAAATGGATAAATGTAACATAAGAGACAGCAGAGAGTTTCTGTTGAAATGTTTATAAATATATATATATATATGTTTCTCCTCCTTTTCTCAGACCGTCTTCAGAATTATCGTGCTCGGGATCTGGGATTATATAGAAAACAAAGTTGAGGTAAGTAGTTCTCGATTTCAAAATCAGATAATCACAGTGAAGATGATTAATGCAGTGTAAACACTTCTCCAGTTATGGCTCAAAATACCATTACATATGTCATACAACATGAATCCGTTCCTTTGGGAGTTTGAATTGTATTGTTCTTTGATATATTTTTGGATAATTATCTTTATATTTTGTACAGGTGGATAATAATATAATATAATTATCTTTATATTTTGTACAGGTGTTTGACGGCGCTGTCATCGTGTTGTCGCTGGCCCCCATGGTGGCCTCCACGGTGGCCAACGGGCCCAGCAGTCCATGGGACGCCATCAGCCTCATCATCACTCTACGCATCTGGAGAGTCAAGAGGATCATTGATGGTAAGTTAGGCAGTGGCCAGTCAACACAGACATCAGTAACACACAGACCAATCAGAACACAGTAGTCAGTTATCGGGCTGATTTGTGAAATGCTACTTTTTAATAAAACACGTTGTTGTCTGAGGTCACTGCAAAATGTTGCCAAAAGTAATAAAGTGCAGATCTAAATGTACTCTTAGTGTCCTCTATTTTTAACTACCACCTTCCCCGTCTCCTTTGGAAAGATAAAAGCAGTGATGTCATAATTGGTGATATTTTGGCTGAGGATGATGTGATGGTGTAAAACTGTTTCCTTCTCTTCTTCTGTGTTAGCGTTTGTGCTGCAGGTCAAAGTGGAGATGGAGCTGGAGATCCAGCAGTGTGAGAAGACCAAGGCTGTGAGGGAGGAGCAGCTGGAGCGTCTCACTCAGATCTGCCAAGAACAAGCCGTGAGAACCAAACACATTTCATTTACAAAAAAAAAAAAAAAAAGCTTGTGAAGTGGTAGAAGGTGACAAATTAGTCCATGGATTTATCAAGAGCAGTGATTACTCTGTGTGTGGGCCTTTTTTTTTTACTTCACACACTTATCTGCCAAAAAGATGTAATTGTTGGTGACGCTCTGTAAATGGTAAATTTAGCAAAGTTTACACAACCAGTTCAACATAAGAACATAAATAAATAACATCTAAAATATTAGGGCTGTTTAAAAGATACACAAGCAGATACAAATAATAACATCAGAGTCATGACGTAGCAGCACAGTCACTGCAGGTCAGTATGACGAAACCAAGGGCGGTTTATCACAATTTTACGAAAAAAAAAACCTACCTATCCTTGACCACCAGCAGATGGCAGCAATGCTTCATAAACGGGTCAAACATCCTGCTCTGACATTTAAAATGTGGAAAGTACACTTTTAAATATGGCATTATTTAAAAGAAAGGATAGTTTTAAGAATGTCAGTCACATGGATCCAGTTGTTAAACGATTGTAAATTATACTTCAGTTTTTATTCAGCTTTTCTTAATAAAATTACAATGGTAATGATACTAATATACAGAGATTTTCAATAGAAATTGCAACAACATCCTGTCTCTAACCTGAGAGCTGATGTAAAACAGATTAAACGGCGGCTTTTTTTTTTTTTTTTTGGCCTGCAGTTTGAGATCAGGCAGCTCAGGGCCCATCTAGCACAACAGGACCTGGACTTAGCAGCAGAACGTGAAGCCGCCATGGAGATCCGCCACGTATGGGGCAAACAGGGCAGAAGTTTCAAGGTTCTAGAAGGTTTGACTCCTGGGGAGTCTGACGACGAAGGCAGCCACAGAACCCCCAGAGAACCCTCGTCCACTGCAGGTACCGTGCAGCTTCTAAACCATTATTACCTTATTATTATTATTATAAGATAGAGATTATATTCAATATGCTTATGACTTAACCACTTACATGTTTTCACGTTACCCATTATAAAAACAAGATAAATTTTGTATTTAAACAAACTTCTAATTGAAGAAATAAAATTATGACAGAAAAATATTTAGCCCTGCAATTACATAACTTTACCACTAGATGTGGCTAAATCCTTGTCTCGGTGCTATATAGAAAATATTCCGTATAAAACAGATGTGGCGTTTATGTGACAAACCCGAACCCGAGCGCTGCAGCAAAAAAACCAAAAAAAAAAAAAACATGGGCGAGACATGAAACAAACCTTGTTGAATGGTTGAACATGTGGTGAAGTGTTTGTTACAGCGGTGATGAGTTCATCTGGAGCAGTAGCCCTGAAGCATTGTTCAGACCGGGCTCTTAGCCCCTCCACGCTCATGCACGACAGCCGTCTGACCGCAGGCATGCTGGGAATCAATATGAAGGGCAAAAAAGCTTTTAGGATGTGGCAAATCCCAGAGAAAACATTGGTGTTCCCTGACACCACACCAGCGTTCTGTTATTCCCTAACCATCTCTTTCACTACGTCCCCAGTGGCAAGACTGGCCAAGACCACCTGGACCGCTCTGTGAATTGGACCTTGTTAGAACGGAGAGGGCTGCTGTCGACAGCTGTTCCCCTTCCTCACCTGTGAACCCCCGACAGGGCACCGGCAGGTCCTGGTGCAGCCGCAGGGCCTCAGGGCAAAGTAGGAAATCTGGCTCTTAAAAAACAAGCAGGGCTTTTTGCAGGAACACAGTCGCCAAGATGAGCACTTAGGCCACGGGGCTGGAGGCAAGTCAGGTCAGCTCAAATCAAACCAAATGTCTTTGTGTGTCTCTGCGGGGCTTCTGTTTCACACTGGCACAACTAAGAACTGGGATCCACGCAGGACAGAAAAATCTATACTGGAACACAGGAGAATCACAGGTGGTTCTGGACACTCCAAAGTACCAAACTGTGTCATTCTATTAGACACCTGATGGACTGAGCTTCTCAGGTGCTGAATGTGGTTTGTAGAGAAGAATATCTGTTAACAAACCTAGGATATACAGAAGTACTGCAGTACTGGAAATACAGATCAAATAACATTTGGCTAAGACTACTTATTTTGGTGTCATGTTTGTGGACCAAAATATTTAGACCACATTTATAATTTTACATAAGGACCACCGTTGTCTTAAATATTCTTTGCAGTACCATGTCACAGACACAGGTGGCCCAAACCCACATGCTACTAGGCTAAGGCAGTGTTGCTAAATTTTCAAAGTCATTTTTTGTAAACCAAAGTCTTCAGAGTAAATGATGGATTTCCTAAAACTGTCTTTAAGGTAGACTTCCTGCTCAGGGTCAGGACCTGAGCTCCAGTCAGTCCCAGAGATCCCACGGTTCCGTCCTTGACAGTGTGCAAACAGAGCCACACAAGAAAGAGACACTGCTACACACATTGATGGTCACTCTGAGACTAGAGTTAATCTGATCTCCAGTCTCTGGACAGAAGAAAAAATAGTCTAAAAAAAATAGCGTGAGAAAATGAAAACTCCATTCTGGTAACCCTCTATTTAATTAAAACCTCAGCAAGTGATTATTAAAAAAAAACTAACCCTCTATTTAATTAAAATCTTTATTCAAATGACCTCAGCAAGTGATTATTAAAAAAAAAGCCAAATTAATAATCCAGCCGTCATGGACAAAAGGTCATTGTCTTTTATTTATGCTGGTCAGCTCTTTCTTTTTTATCTCTCTCGAACTCATGTGTTATTAATTGTGAAATGATTGTCTCGGCCTTGTTTTAGCGTGTGCAATGCCTCCTCTCCGGGGTCGGCTCTGGGATTAATATTTTAGTCTGAAAAATAAATGAAATTACCCATCAGAGTCTGTAGTGTGTCCTGGGGGACGGGAGCCAGCACTCAGGGCACTCTTCGCACTCAGCCAGTGGACAGTGAGCTCCAGGCCAATCAAGCGAACAGAATGCGGAGCAGATCGCAGGCAGTCACCACGCACACAGTGGTCTGCCAGACTGCAGAGCACGAGGGGAGTGTGAACAAAGAGCTCTCTCCCATCCCGTGTTATTCTCCATGGTTTCACTCATCCCTGTAACAAACCTCTCCCTGACCCTGCCCCATTTTACTTCTGCTACACTAGCTCTCTGCCACTGCAGCGCCGAACTGTCAATACTATTTTGTAATCTAAAGATTTCTTTTTTTTTTCTATATGTAAAAAATAAT